GAGGAGGAGGAGGAGGAGGAGGAGGAAGAGGAGGAGGAGGAGGAGGAGGAGGAGGAGAAGAATGGGGAGAAGAGCACTGAAGCGGTTTGATTAGTTGAGCTAAGATTGTTGATGATGTCAACGCTGCAGATTTGGGACGATCTCATGCATTTCCCCTCGCATCATAAAGAAAGGGCCTCACCGCCACGAAATGTGCATAATGGAGAATGCACATCCGCCTACAACGTGGCCAGGTACACCCACCATGGTTTTATATCGATTTTTAATTTGCTGAGTGATCGGCGGGTAGAAGAAGGGTTAAGACAAGCGATGGCCAAACCCACATATCACGCACACACACACGCGGGGAGGGTAAGGAAACAAATCGCCCGGGGAAAAAAAAATACTTCTGTCTTTATTCTTTCTTAAAGAATGGGAGTCGTTTCTATCAACACGGCAGGCGAGGGGCCCTGCCGTGTAGGTGGCATGACATTTGTACTGGATACAGAGACAGTTAAGAGCATAGAACTTGTGGATGTTTTAACACATACTAACTACAACAAAGTAGATTGGGCATATATTACTGGATAATTTGTGTGTAAGTCCATATATATGCCAACACATACTATCGTTATTTGTGCTGGTGTATAATTTGCCAACACACAAATCTTGCTTGGTACATGGCTGGATAATTACTATGCAAAATTCAGCAGACTATAGGCCAGCGCAAATAACGATACAGAACCAGAACAAAGGGTGTAGCTGACCAGCCAGCTGACCACATACAGAAGGTTGAACAATAACGAACAATCTGATCAGAGTAGACCACATACACAATGCTGAATAACAACGAATAACCTGGTCACATAGAGAATGTGGAAACAGAAGTAGAGGATATGACTGTGCCAGGTAGAGGGGTAGTAGTCAGGGGAGAGGGCCATTTGAACTCATGATCTGTTTATTAATAGTGCCATTCAGAAAGACAAGCAGGTACCGTTAAAACTGGACGTTAAAATTGGAACGAGTCTGAGCCTGATCTGAGTCTGAGTCTGAGTCCAAGCCTGATCTTAGTCTGAGTCTGAGTCTGAGTTTGAGTCTAAGTCTAAGTCTGATCTGAGTTCGAGTTTCAGTCTGAGTCTGCATCTGAGTTTGAGTCTGAGTATGAGTTTGAGTTTGAGTCAGAGTCTGAGTCTGCGTCTGGGCCTTCATCTCAGTCTGAGTCTGATTCTGAGTCTGAGCTTGATCTGAGTCTGACTCAGAATCTGACTCAGACTCAGACTCCGCATCAATGAACCAATCAATCAAACGATCGATCAACCTTTTCTTGCGGGAGGCAGGGACGTCTATCTCGTTCGATTGTTGTTAGTTTTTCATTAATTTCAGTTTTGTTTTTTTAGTTGATCTCAATCATTCAAACAATCAAACAATCAATCAATCAATCAACCAACAAATCAGTTTTGGTTTTTCAATCATCCAATCAATCAATCAACCAACCAACGAATCAGTTTTGGTTTTTCAATCATCCAATCAATCAATCAACCAATCAATCAAACGATCGATCAACCAATCAAACAATCGATGTCGAATGATCAGTTCATAGAATGGTTGAATGATATCGATAGACTGATTCGTCGATCGACTGGTTGATTGATTGTCATGTAGGTCTTTTCTCGCTCTTCATCGGCAGTTGTTCAGTCACAATCGAGGGCAGCATACATCCTCGCCGTTTGCCCTGTGTCTTCGCTCTCACGTGTCGTGCTGTGGGTTTGTGGGGCTCGGTGTTAGAGAGGGGCTGGGGAGGGAGTGTCGACATGGCGCACAGGCCGGAGTTTGTGCCCAATGTGGAGTTTGAAAACGATCCAAAGCCCAAGCACGTCATCTGGAAGTACGTGGAGAAGGGCCAATTGTTTGTCAGCCCTTCGGGAGCTGACCCGAAGGGCAATCATGAGTTGCGTTGTAGATTGTGTGGTCACCGGTGGGTTGGTAACCAAAGCAAGGCGACCCAACACTTCAATACCGTGCGCGATCATGACAGGTGCCCACACGCATGTGTTTATATCCTCAGGGACTTGCAGAGGGCGGGCATCAAGTTGAAGGGGTCCCTCCCTATTTCTGTACGGGAGGCTGACAGGGAGGGTGAGCTCGAATTTGAGCATCCCCTCAATTGGAGATTGCCTGGCGTCGTCGCACGACAGCCCCCGCTAGTCCGCGCGCGTGATTTGGCACAGGGACGAAGGGGGAATGGCAGGGAGGAGAGAGCACCTCCGGCACCTGCGGCGCGGCAGGATGGAGAGGGCCATTCTGCAGGAGTGGGCCCTTCCAGAGGAGGGGGCCCGTCCGCAGGAGTGGGCCCCTCTGGAACAGCGGGCCCGTCTAGTGGAGGGGGACAGGGAGCAGGAGAGGGCCCGTCTAGGGAAGGGGACGAGTGCGACGAGGGAGGGCGTGCAGAGCACGCAAGGGCGAGACGGTTTGATCCGGCAGGAAAGATGCCATGTGGTGCTCCTTATTTAGAGGTCGGGAGGAGGCGACGCGAGCACGAGGGAGCGCCTCGTGCTCCCCAGGACGAGCAGCAGTGGTGGAGGGATAGGATGCTGCAGCGAGCGAGAGAGGAGGGCATACCGGTCCCTGCGGACCTCAAGGAGGGGCTGCTGGGAGCCGCTGTGGAGGGGAGACAAGCACAGCACCGAGTGTCGAAGCTGACTCAGACCCGTCTTGATGACTGGGATCAGCACCCGATGCAGTACGACCTTGACATGGCCTACATTAGATTCTTCGTTGGTTGTGGTATACCGTTTAACGTCGCTAGATCAGAGTGGTATGCGGCTTTGCACGATGTTTACCTCAGTCAGTTCAGGGATGCGTACCGGCCTCGTCAACCAAGGTTCGAGTTGTTGCGCACGACTCTGTTGTCCATGCTGTACGCGGAGCTCGACGAGCGCTTGCGATACCACCGAGAGTCGTGGTCCGAGGGGGTCACTTTCATGACAGACGATTGGTCGACTCAGGCCAACCGGCCTCTCTGCAACTACTTGGTTGCAGGGAGGTTGGGGGGGTCCTTATACCGGGTAGAGGATATGTTTGGCCGGGAGAGGACCGGAGCGGGTTTGTACCGCCGATGGAGGGAGCTTGTTCTTGAGATCGGTGCACAACATGTGGTCGCGATATGAACAGACAACGCGTTGGCCAACAAGGAGGCTTACCGTTTGCTTTGTGACGATCACGATCTTTCCTTGCGAAAGATCGCGTGGATTCCTTGCGCAGCTCACTGCTGCAACCTGATGCTCACACACATTGCCAGACAGCCATGGGTGGCGCAGGTCATCGCAGAGGGGCGGGATATCACTTTGTTTTTTCGGCGCCACGCACGTGCAGCATACCTCTTGGGTCGGCAGTCGCCGCCCGTATCTCTGGTTCGCCTGGGTGAGACGCGGTACGGGACCAACTACATCATGCTTCATCGCATGTCGAGGTTGCGTGAGTCTTTGGATGGTTGTGTCAGCTCCACTGCCTGGGCGACGAGCGCGTGGCTCCCCGCATTGAGGGACGGCGCACGCAGGTGTTTTGACCTTTTGCGCGATCCGCAGTGGTGGCATCAGGTAGAGCTCGTCACCACCATCATGGGTCCTATTCACGAGTTGCTTCAGCAGGTCGACTCTAACAGTCGCAGGGTCGGTGATGTGTGGGGATTACTAGAGAGGTTGCGGATCACGGTCGATCGACTATCTCTTGATGAGGCTTGTCACGAGCCCATCAAGAAGATAGTCAAGGACAGGTCAGATATGATGCTCACCCCCATTCATTGTGTTGCGTACTTGTTGCACCCCAAGTACCGCTGCATCGACCTTTAGATGCGAGGGACGGTGCGGGAGTGCATTCTTCTGGAGAATGCGCTTGACTATATCGCGACCCAGATCGACGGTGGCCGAGAGGGCAACGAGATTGGACGAGTCTGGAGTTCTCTGCAGGACTTCCATGGCAAGTACCCAACGGCCGCTCATTGGGGGGGACCCGTCGGGGATGCAGAGATCGAGCAGCCTGACTTTGATCCTGTGAGGTGGTGGAGATTTAAGGGGGGACGACATCTGACATTGCGAGATGTTGCTATGCGCTGCTTGGGTGCGTGGACCACTGCCTCTCCTTGTGAGAGGAATTGGTCGACGCATGACTTCGTCAACACGAAGAGGCGCAACAGGCTAGGCGTCGGGCAGTTGGAGAAGCTTGTGTTCTGTCACTGGAACCTGAAGCTTCTCCAAAGCAGTCACGCACGAGGCGGGTTCATCGGGGCAGGCCTCCCAGGGGTTGGATTGACTGACGTGGAGAGGAGGGCAGAGGACTATTCCCGTTACGAGCCAGACGAGATGGAGCCCGGTACATACGACCCGGAGGAGATCGAGAGAGAGGCCAATCGCCTGAGGAGGCAGTCGAGAGGCAGACGCTTGGCGCGGGCCGCAGTAGCATTGGCCCAGCGGATTCAGCAGCAGGGCGAGGACACGGTACACGGGGAGGATGTGATTGACGACGACGTGTCATGGTTATCAGAGCCTTATCGGGGGGACAGGTTTTTAGATGGGGAGGCCCCCCCGACTATGAGCCCCGCAGGTAGGATGCTTCCGCCACGCGCCCCGCTTCGTGATAGAGGCGTCCCCTCACGTACGCCCGCATGCGAGGCAAACTCGGACAGCCTCCGTGGAGACGAGTTTCCCGACGTGTCGGGCGCCGTCGGGATGGATGATGGCGGTTGGGGGGATGGTCATCCACCGGAGGCCAATGAGCTGAGGGAGGCCGCTCGACCCCTGGAGTCCGATGAGCTGAGGGAGGCCGCTCTTCGACCGTCCAGCGCAGGATCCATTGAGGGTGCACCGCCTCCATCTGCTGCACCAGCCACGGATGCGGCCATGCATCATGATACTCTCGCACCGGCCGCTCAGGGTTTGCCGCATGCCCCCGCCGACGGGGGCACTACATCTGCGGTTCCCATCTTTCCTAGCCCGCACCGTGCAGTGGAGCACGATTGTCAGGGGAGGCTCATACAACGTCCCGGATTCATGGGTCCGCTAGACTTGTGGGCAGCATCAACTATTTCCCAAGATGCTGAGAGGGATTTGGCGGCGTACCTGCCGAGAACATTGTCGGATTTGCCGCGGGTTGACTTGGATGCGAAGGCTGGTGGCGTGGAGTGTCGGGAACCCTTTGGTGTTGAGGCTGCTGTTGGGGAGGCTGTTGCCACAGAGGGAGGCGCAGAGAGAGAGGATATCGCACGTGCCTTGGAGGGCGTCGGTTACTCGGTAGAGGAAATCGAGCAAACGTTGGTGGGGTACCCAGAGGGACACAGACACAGTACCCATCATCCGGGGATGCACACACGCCAGGGTGTGGATTGTAGCTACGCACGCGCTTCTCCCTTGCTGCCTCTGCCGCTTCTAGATCCCTCTCTTGCACTGGACATCGCAGGCGCGGGATCGCACTCGTCTCTCGTGACGGATGCTCAGGGTACTGGTGGACAGTGCAGTGGTCTACGGGACCATGACTCCCCGGGCACGGGTCTTCGTCGTGCAGTTTCCCCCATGGACTGTGGCGTGCACTCGACGATGCCATTGCCGCCCAGAGATCCCTCATTCATCATTGAGCCGCTTCGACCATTCGTTGGTCGTAAGCGGAAGGCAGTGGCTGCCACGGGACAGGAGGGTGGGAGATCTACAGGTCGTGGCCGAGCCAGAGGCCGACCATCGGGAGAGGAGAGGGTAGTAGGAGAGGGTGGTATATCAGCAGAGGGGCGTTGGAGAGGAGAGGGGCGCGGGAGAGGAGAGGGACGTCCTTGAGGCCGACCGCCCGGACGGGGGAGAGGAGAGGGACGAGGCGCGACTCGAGGGGGCAGGGCATCAGGGGGGAAGGCCACTGCGGGTGGGAGAGGGTTCCATGCGCACATGGCGCCAGTCACATCATCTACCGCCGAGGCCGAGGAGGGCATAGCACAGCGCACCGCCAGGAGGCGTAGAGCAGAGCCGCCGACGACGACCGCACCAGCGTCCACGGCCGCATCGGACTCCAACGCGTCGGCATCGTCGAGTGACCCTGATTTCGAGGGGGGGGGTGAGGGGGAGGAGGAGGAGGAGGCGGTCGATGCGGAGATCGAGGTCGGAGAGGGGGATATGTTGGGATAGTTTTGCACAATTTTTGTCTCGTTTGTGGTTATCAGGTTCTCATTGCTGGAGGTGGCACTTTCTTGTACAGCATGATGTGGTGGCATGTAGCAGGGTTAGTACCTGTGAGAGAGAGAGAGAGAGAGAGAGAGAGAGAGAGAGAGAGAGAGAAAGAAAGAGAGAGAGAGAGGGAGAGGGAGAGAGGGAGAGGGAGAGAGAGAGAGAGAGAGAGAGAGAGAGAGGGTTAGTACCTGTGTGTGTGTGTGTGTGTGTGTGTGTGTGTGTGTGTGTGTGTGTGTGTCATATTCGTTCAAGCAGCATCACCATTGTGATGACCCGTCCGAACAAGGACTGGAACACAACAGATTTCTGAGTTTTGCCCATAGACTGAATGCCTAACTGAGTTTCCCGCTTTCTGCTAAGTCTGTGTATGCATGCTTGTTGGACTGCATGTCTGTCTGAGTGTTGGATGGCGTGAGTGTGTGTGACCGTGCCAGTCTGAGTGCTGGTTGGCTTGAGTGTGTGTGTGTGTGTGTTGTCATGTCCGTTCAAGCAGCATCACCATCGTGATGACCCGTCCGAACAAGGACTGAAACACACAGCAGATTTATGAGTTTTGCCCATAGACTGAATGCCTGACTGAGTTTCCCGCTTTCTGCTAAGTCTGTGTATGCATGCTTGCCGGACTGCATGTCTGTCTGAGTGTTGGATGGCATGAGTGTGTGTGACTTTGCCTATCTGAGTGCTGGTTGGCTTGAGTGTGTGTGTGACCGTGCTTGTCTGAGTGCCGATTGCTTGAATGTGGCCCGTAAGGGCACCTGTTCGTTCGTTGGGCCCTCAGGGCCGATACTTACCTGTGGCCTTGGCAACGGGGGATTGCAGCGGGAGAACACTCAAGTAGTGGTAGGCCGGTACCGCAATGCATAGGGGTAGATGTGCGGGTACTTGGCCTCCTCCCGAAGATACTCTGGCCAAAACTCCAAACATACATTCCCACCCCAAAAACCTCGTGGCCACCCACAGACATTCCCTCAGTAAAAAGCCCATGCTCTAAAGCAGGACAAAGAATTAGGCCGTGTATAATCAACAAAAAACATCTAACCATACCCAACCACAAAAACAGAATAGCTCGCTAGTACGAGCCCTATCCTAACCGCTCAAATCTGCATTGTGGACGCCCGAACGTATGGGACCGAAATGTGTGTTGTTTTTCAGAAACCCCAGATTCTCTCCATTGTGTGTTGTTTTTCAAAAACCCCAGATGCGTTTTTCAGAACGAACGGAGAGAGAGCTAGCAAGACACCGAAATGTGCGTTGTTTTTTAGAAACCCCAGATTCTCTCCATTGTGTGTTTCGGTATGTGTGTGTGTGTGTGTGTGTGTGTGTGTGTGTGTGTGTATGTAAGAGAAAATCTCAAGCTTGAGTCGTGAGGCCCATGACATATACAGTAATAGGGCAAAGACGTGAATTCAATGCATATGAAGCGGAAGGAAGGAGGAGACATGACAACCCCAATCACATGTAGCTGTAGAGGGTCAGGTTATGAGTTCGAACCCTGATGGGTACAATAAATGACAATAATGTTAGGGGCTGAACCCCTTTACAAAAAAAAAAACAATGGACAAAAGAAAACAGAAGGAGACAACACACAAATGGAGTCGGTTTTGTATGAGTTGCAGATGGGACGATTTACAGAGGAGACACATAAATTGTGATTTGATTATCCCAAAAAAATGCTGGATTGAAACACCAACATCAACAACATCAACACATGGCATGCCCCCCACCTGGGGAGGCCTAGCGGCCTGGAAGTCATTCTCTGTGTGTGGGCGTGGGTTTGGCCAAGCCCGAGTAGTCCACCATAGCCTCGGCCTCCCAGTCCAGTTTTTTTTGTTTTTTTTTCATTTTTAAAGGTGCACAGGCGCGGGGGGCGACCTCCGCAACCCTATAGTAAATTTGAAAAAAAAAAAAAAAAAACTTTGGCCTCAGCGGACGGCCGAACGCCGGGCCCGGGGGTCCCAAACGTTCGGGCGTTCGGGTTCGGGCGTTCGGGACCGGCCACCCCATATATATATATATATATATATATATATATATATATATATATATATATATATATATATATATATATATATATATATATATATATATATATNATATATATATATATATATATATATATATATATATATATATATATATATATATATATACGGAATGTGTTGGGACGCAGGTCGTGATCCGTGATACTGTGCTTTCGCATGTGCAGGTGCGTCTGGCCTTCCGCATCCATATAGCAGGGGCATCAACATGGACCGCCAACAACCTCCTGCAGCTTTGCCACCGTCGCCGAAATCCCCGTTGCTTCCTACTCCTCTCTCTTCATCTCCATCCGCCTCACGCGCTCTCTCTTCTTTGCAAGGCTCTCCGGTGTACCATGATATTTCACACGGTCGAGGGAGAGGGCTTTTGGATCCACGTGGACGTACTCGAACCGATTGTATATTGGAGAGACTTGCAACCAGGCAGCGTTTGTATGACAGAATGGCGGTTCTGTCGTTCCCTCCTCTGCTGAATTCGACAACTGTCACACAAACTTCTCTCCTGAGTCACATGCGCGCAACCATTGCCGCAATCCCGGCTCTCCCCACTTTCGTTGCCGATCCCGCAACGTTTCCTTTTGTGCAATCCGCTGTGGTTTCATTTCGTCCTCCATTTTCTTCGCCCATGGGCTCTCTCGCAGCGATTTTGCCGACGCCTTGGTCCACAAGTCAGACCATGTGCGGTGTCCAACAAAGTCGTTCAGACGCCGCGCATCCATTTGCTTTGCCTCGGTCGTTCCCGTCTTCGGACCATAACAACACCGGCACGGTTCCCGTTCCGGGTGTCTTTGCGTCGAATCTCGTTCATCGAATAGAAGAGACACGTTCGCCGATCTAAGCAGTGCAGCCGACATCATGCACTCTGGTTTCCACCAACCGTGCACACGATGTTCTTTCGCCGTCTAATGATAGCGAGGCTGGGATGAGTTTCTCGCATACGAAGTCCAGTACACCTCGTGAAGGCAAGCCTCGTTGAGTGCGATGCAGACTCGATCAGCAAAATCGTCTGGGTGAGATTGCAAAGGCGATGATAAAGAAATTGTCGACTCGCACTCGCGACTCCAAAGATAAGAAGAAAAATCATTGTTCGTACGAGGACGTGTTCGATCAGCTCATGGAGTGGAGTTCCGTTCACGTTGATGAACTGACGTCAAAGTACGGCCCCGACGAGCAATCGTCTGGCCATGGGGGATCATGCGGACAAGGATCGGATGCAACGACGACACCGAAGTCGCGAGGTGGCAGACCTCGCAGTGACGCTTTGAAATGGCACGACGGTAAGCCGGGATATTTGAATAATGGTCCGATGTTTGAAAGGTTGACCATGAGGGACCAAATGGCCATGTGGGATGCTAAGGCCAGACCTGATGTCGTTTTCATTGAGCCGATGAAACTTCTACAGATTCTCGGGATGTTCGAGCAAACGTGTCCTCAACACGGGAAAGACGTGGAGGTGACGATCAAGAAGATCCATTATCCATGTCACATTTGCAAGTTGCAATTCGAGTGCGGGAAAGGGTGCACTTGGCACTAGAGTTCCGCGAAGGTTGTTTCACCAGGCGGGGTGAGAAATTCGAGGGTTGAGACTCAATTGTTCCACTCCACTTTCACTGCGGGAATGACTTACACTCAATTGAATAACCTTCTGCGGGGCTTAGGGATGAAGAAGGTTAGGAAAAAAACTTTCTATAATTTTTTCCGTGATTACGGCCCAGGTTCCCGATAGTGTCTGTGACACGTCGAATGGTTGTGACACGTCGAATGGTTGTGACACATCGAACGGGTTACGCAAAAGAGCTTCGACAAGGTCATCGCGCTGTCGAGCGCATCGGCCCTCGCGCGAACAAGGGCCCTCCCGGCTATGTCACGCAGGAGTTAAAACAAAAACAAAACCAAAGACAACTTAGGACGATGCATAAATAGTCCCGCGAACCGTCGAGACGGATGCGGTTGCATTGTCCCATCGCCGCTCTAGCCGGGTGCGCCAGCTATACATTTCGTGGTCCCCTACGACAGGATAGGTTTTCGCGGGGCACAACTTACTTTCCCTGAGGGGCTGTCACCACCCTCAGGGGCGTATCCCTACCGAGCTACAGACCCACATGCGAAGGCTTTTATATGCAATTGTAGAGGTAGGTCAGTCGAGGGTGTTTGCTCGCTCGCTGGAGTATAGGTACGCTTGGTTAACGCCAAGTGGACCCTAACATTGTCCGTTCTCGAGGGCGCTGATCTCCTCGGTATGAACGAATGTTGGTCGACTAGGACGGCCCCAACCAAACTCGAAACCCATCGTACAATCCTAGCCCCTTTTACGCACAATCAAAAAAGGTTACAACGTCCACAGATAATTACATCAAAAGAAATCGACCGTATTCGACACAATTATATATTCAACTTAAAGTAATATCTGGAAGAATCCAAATCATCACTTGATACATCCAACAACACGATATCAAAACAACCCGACCACCCCGGGTCGAATTCCACAAGAACAAGCATACAATCGCCAACGAGAAGTTGACTATCGATAATAACATTGATGCAACCGACAAGGTAGTCGGGCTGCCTTAATTTTGACTTGATGAGACGCCCTGCCAAAGTTATTCATTCCAACTAACGCCGACCTATGATTAAGCATGCATACGCTTATCTCCATACATTCTCAATCTTCCTGGATGACAGGTTGCTTCGCGGATGATTCTCAATCAGGCGCATGGCTCAAAGTGTTGCATGCCTCTCCTCTAGGAAGTGG